AATATTAACTTGCACATATATGAGGTAATTACCAATTGCACTAAGTCTTCAAAAAATAACCTGGAGGTATTCTTATATTATAAACATCAACAAATAAATGAAAACAGAATTGCGTATAAACAAACATTCTTCTTATTGAAAATACTTTGACAAGAAATTACTTCAACATGTTTTTTGTTCAATCCACTAAATCCATGGCAATTTCTTTATTAAAGAAACAACAAACTTTTTGTTATCAAAATATAACAAAAAATATTTGGCACGCATCTAAAAGTAATATGTATACATATATTAACAAGTGAGGAAAACGAGCTGCTGGTAGGCGTATAGGAGCATTAATTATGCTGTTCTATATGATAGTGATATGTACAACAAAATATTTACAGTAATACAACAACCTTACACATAAAACAGTTCATATTCTATGCACATAGGAACAAAATATTCTACATGGCAATCTAAACTAAAATAAAAGTATCACTTTCTGATTAAAGTTTTTAATACTTCATATGATTTCTTTTTTGAAGAATCTTTTTAGCACATTGAAATAACTGAGTAGATGGATATTACTATCTACAGTTTTTTTTTATCACATATACAAATTTTTTATTTACTAAATTTTAAGTACATTTGCAAAAAAAAATGTTTGATATCAATTTAATGATTTCCTTAATGATACTTTAGTCATATAAACGTATATGTCAATCTCCTACTCAGTGATCTCCCCTTATCAGTACAGAGATTAACAATCTGCTAAGGGAGGTCATCAATGTGAGGACTTTGCAATTATGTAAGACTTGAGTTTGCTCCCCTGAATTACAGTATAGTGTTTTGTACAGTTGTAAATGACCTTATTAAAATACAGGATACGATGGATTCATATGACAATTTTATGATTTCCTTATTGATACTTTAGTCATATAAACATGATGTTTATAACAACAACGTATATGTCAATCTCCTACTCAGTGATCTCCCCTTATCAGTACAGAGATTAACAATCTGCTAAGGGAGGTTATCAATGTGAGGACTTTGCAATTATGTAAGACTTGAGTTTGCTCCCCTGAATAACAGTATAGTGTTTTGTACAATAAATCAACGACTTCATTAAAATACAGGATACGATGGATTTATATGACAATGTAAGTGGTAAATTTAACTGTAGATTTTGTTCACAAATATAACATGATCTTATATCCTGGATTTCAGTCTTCTATATATAGATGTTCTTTAATGCTCCCTCTATCACAATGGACATAGATATTATGCACGTTTCTTCACTTTCTTCAAACTGTTGATCACTAAGCTATAACATTTAGTCATATATCTGAGCTGTCTTGTTAGGTCTCTAACTTTAACTTTGATTTAACTATCCTTGGATACAAGAAACAAAACCATGGAATATCCCAGACAACAGGCTAAATTTTATCATCAAAATATCATATATTTGGTGTAAATTTTAGGCCATTATCATAATTGATAATACTAGTTTATGATTGACATCACTGTACTGTTAAATTCTTGTCACCATTGTTTTATGATAAAGCATTCCTCAACCATTCAAAGCACTTTTTTTAACACTTTCCTATTTTTTGTTCTTCAGTTTTTAAGACCCACTTTAATCTGAAATCATTATCAGTCTTTCATATGGAATAAATGTCATTAAGTAGAATGGCATATTTCAGTATAAAATAGAACATCTTTGGTTTACTTTTTATCATACAGTTTAAAGCTGTTTAAAGTCTTTCTTGATTTCACTAAATATTATATTTTCTACTGCAAAAATTAGACTAAGTCACACTTTCCAATTATGCACAGAAAATGTGCACTTTATTTTATATCTTCTACCACATAAATTAGACATAGTTTCCTTGTTTTCTAATTATGCACAGAAAATGTGCACTATATTTTATATCTTCTACCACATAAATTAGACATAGTCTCCTTGTTTTCTAATTATGCACAGAAAACATGTACTATATATTGTATATTTCCTACTGCGTAAATTCAGCATTATAATTAGATAGAGATCTAGTCCGCTGTTTTCGAAATGGCGTAGAAAACGCTGCTTTAAACTTCACCCAGATTCCACGACGTACGTTTGCTGTAAATTTATTTACAAGACACAACACTGTTGCCACGGCAAATATGGCGTTATATGTAAATATGATATAAAAGTTTCCCAACCAATCCATTGTTCCAAAATCTCCTACTAAGTCAAAGTTAGTTATTCCTGTAAAGAAAAGAACACAACATTATCAAAGTTATATAACAATAACAAGTTACAACAAAACTTATAGTTCACATATACATGTATTAGAATAAAGAAGCCATCCTGCCAGTTTATGGGTTGTCAGTGGTTATACTTAAGTGCTAACTTTTTTGTGGTCAGTGGTTCTACTTAAATGCTATACTTAAGTGCTATCTTCTGCCCAAACACAAAACCTTTATCTACCAATATAGTTTTGACCATTGGTCATTTCATCTGTATCCATTTTACCAAGACAAAAGAAGAAACTTAAAATTACAATTATGTATGAATATATGATTTGCCAAATAATTATATTACTGTTACTTTTTGTTAATAAAATTGTAAAATCATAGTTAAACATTAACAGAATCGTGTGTAACAGTTACTTTCATGTCCCAAAAATCATTAAAACACCTTAGTGACATGGTAACATTCTACACTCATGTATTTATTGTATTTGATAACATTTTCTCTGTTTTATTTATTTGTAAGACATTTCAAAATCTATTATAATCTCTTACTAATATGTTTAATAAGACAGCAGTCTGGAATGGACGCGCAAGTCGTATTATTGCGAAAAACAGGCGAGTACTGGTATACAAAATTAAAATTGCAACAGAAAATGAGAAAACTGGTCTTATGCTTAAGATGAACTATACTCTCACTGAAATTAATATTTTGAGAAAGAAAGATGCAGAAAATGACTTTGATTCGATATGCACCAATAATATAATAGTCGTAAATATCTCATGCAGAATGCAGAATTGTTAAAATAATGCAGGATTGTGCAAAATTAGACATACTTGTAGAAATAAATGCCGAAAACAAGTATCTTATGAAGCTATATAGTTCGGCAAATGTGTTAGGTATACAGAAAAGCATACTATAAAAAAAGGTTAAATGTGCATTATTGTACTTATGAATATTGCGAAATACAAACTTCAACGCCAGAACAGTATACGTAGCCGGTTCGTTAGTCTCATAAATAGTCTGGTATATATGTTATCAGGGTCCTTACAGCCGTATGCGCTAATTTAGTTTTAATAATTTGTGAAATATGTATAGGCCCTTTCTTGCTATTCGAAGTGGTCATTACCCCCCCCCCCCATATAAATTTGCACAATTCAGCGTTATTTTTGGAAATTTCTTCGTGACGGGATATACGTCAGGTGCCCGTTCGTGCCTTAAATAATGCACGGAAGGTCACCTGAGGTCTTCCTCCACCAGTAAAGCTGGAACGTCGCGATATGACCTATACTGTGTCGATGTGACGTAAAACCCAAAACAAACAAAAACTTACTTACTGACTGACTTGACTTGACTTGACTTGACTTGACTTGACTTGCATGCAGAAATTAAGTCTATTATTGTTATTCATCATAATTATTAAAACCGCCTCCGTGGTCGAGGGGTTAGAGTCGATGACTTCTAATCCAGTTACCTCTCTGGCGTGGGTTCGATCCCCGGGAGATGCTTTGGTAGTTTAGCGCGGAGGAAGGTAGTCTAGTACTGGTGTAACTCTCCAGGAACGATGGTTAGGAAACTACCCGCCTATATGACTGAAATACTGTTGAAAAAGGCGTAAAATGAAACAAACAATCATAATTATTAAAGGGAAGTAAATGCTAAATTATTTGTTATGTAAAGTTACAAAAGTTATCCTCATTCATTAGTCATAATCATTATGTTGATTTCTCTTTGTGGATTCTAATTATAGGCATTACCGAATTTCTCAAGTATGTAGCTAAATTATATAATGTTAGGTAAACATAGACACATTCTTGAGCATTGTTTATATATATTTAAACGTTTTCTCACATTTCATAAACCAAAATGTTTTAGATATATACGTTCATGTCATGTGTTATTTATATATTATATGTTGTATTTGTATATGTTATATGGTGATGATCTTGTTATGCTTAAACCAAGTAATACATTTCTGTCCTGTTCTGTTATGTTCTGTTTAACGCAAACGATGTCACGTCAAAATATATCAACAGCCTTAAAAATCATTTTCAATGAGTGGCAAAAGCGCAACAGGTATGTGATGAATATTTTTTAAATGAACAAAACAATATTGTTTGTTTGTTTGATCGGGTTTTACGTCACATCGAGACTGTATAGGTCATATTGCGACGTTCCAGCTTTACTGGTGGAGGAAGACCTCAGGTGCCCTTCCGTGCATTATTTCAGGCACGAGCGGGCACCTGAGTAGAACCACCGACGTTGCGTAAGCTAGCTGGATAGCTTCCTCACATGAAATAATCCAAAATCCCTGTCGGGATTCGAACCCATAGCGGTGAGGGGCAAGTGATTTGAAGTCAACGATCTTAACCACAAAAGAATATGAATAGGCCAAATGATACTTTCAAACAAAATGTACATGTACTATATAATGAGTTTGTTACATATGTTTTTACTTTGCTATAAAATTTGTTATGATTGAGACTTTATCTGTCATTGCAACAACAAACAGACACCTCCAAAAGTTAATTGCAACCTGGGATATATATATATATGATGATCATATTGTGCGCCAAGAAAACACAATAAGTACAAATGTATACATACCATATTTATTTGAAAATGCGACAATATAGTTATATACGTGTACTAATAAATACAGAAAAATACTATCTTTTCTAAACTTGATAATCAAAATATTCGTCAGACGATAATCATTGTATAAATATTTATAAAATTTCAGATATATTATGTCATATACAGAAGTTAAATGTTTTTTCCGTCAGTTATTGACAAGTACTCCACTAAATGTGTTCATCCTATATACGTCTTCAATCAGCTGGCGGTTAGAACCTGACGCTGTTGATTTGACCCAAACTTTTTCTCCTGACCTTACTCTCACTATTGCCCCAACAGTACTACAGGTGTAATAATCCTTATCATAGTTTGAATCTGCTGCAATAACTTTACCTTCCAACACTAGACCAATAAAAGCATGTTTTACCATATAATCACATGTATGCACAGAAAACTGGTACAGTCCTCCAACAGGTGCTGTAAATATCCCAGTAGAAGTGTCGTAACCTGTTCCCTCGTTAATCACATTTTTCGTAAATATAATTATCTCATCTGTAGTATCAAGAACCAAATCTACGACGTGATGTGCATGGAAAGCAATCGGAGGTCGTTCAATTTTACCTGAGTATAGAAAATAGTGAAGTCAGTACATGTTTCTTACAATTGTTTCGTTATGATTTCATATTTGTTTGTATATCTGGTTTTTAAGAATTCTAATGCGTATCAATCGTCGATGGTTAAATATAAAGAATAGCCAGACCTCCTGATTTTAATTTGTAATTCAATTTTTAAAATAAGCGTTTGGGAAATATCTTATGAATATCTGTGTAAAACATGATAATTAAGAGCTATATTAGAAAAGTAAAATAATCTGTAAAACAAAGATAATGACATGTATTCAAAATTAGTATATATACACGTAATTAATTAAGTTTAAAGATAATGGAAGGATCAGTATATATTTGAATAAGTTCTTAATATCTTAAACTGATTATTGATGTTTTATTGCACGTGAATGCACTAAAAAATTACCAATTGAATATCATATAATCAAATAAGATATTATGACACAGTTTTGGAAAATAATCATCTCGTGAATGCAAAATGAGAAAAAATACCTTGCAGTTCAGTAAGTTCTTCTGTTTTAGCTTCCAAGTCACTCGTGAGGTTTATTCTTGTCTCCTCAAACAATTTCTTGAAGGAGTCTGTAAAAAAGTATCATAGTTCAATAACTAACCGTAATCAAAGTTCAGTAAGCATTATATTTGTTATTACATATGCATACGTATACATATGAACTGTATGCAGAAAGTGACATGGAACTTAATTGGAAACTTAGTTTTACATAGCCAGTAGTGTAACTTCTGAAATAGGGTAGAAAAAAACTTTCATTCTAATAACATATTTTGATTTTCCTCGCTCACTTTCTATAATCAAATTTCAATTGAAATTTTTCGAATTTCTATTGGCTGACACAATAGCCATTTCCTAAAGTAATTCAATATAGAATAAATGTAATAAAAGTCAGGGAATATTTTCCCTAATAAGAAGAACCAATTTGATGAGTCAGCGTTTTCCTTCATGTAAATATCTTTATTTAGAACATAAATGTTCTATGTAAATCATTTAAAGATCCTGTAACACAAATTTTCTATGGTTTTATATCATAAAAATGATGCACAAGTTTTTATCCATATTGTATATTCTAAAAAGCATTATCTATAATGATATTACCGAATTTAACATTTCATGTAAATAAAGGGAGGTAATTAGAAACCTATTTTCTATAATGTCTAAGTCTAATTTGTCAATAAGAAATGAATGCATTTATTTTAAAGATTACATAAAATGTGCACAAATATTTGCAGTACATATTTTACATATTCTTCGATGTTTGAAAATTGTTTTATAAGCATAATTATATACATATATAATATTTCACTTTAGTGTGGTAACAATATCAATTACAACATACAGGATCTTCAACATAAATATTCACTGTAATTCATTGTTTGTATATATCAGAAATATATAAAAATCATACAAATCACATATCTGATTTTAATATACAGCAGTGTTCTTCCATGCATCAAATAGAAAGAGCTACAGATAAACACGCGACAGAATATGGCAGAAGAGTTACAAATAACTGATGTCATTTTATAAAATTTATATATGTTCATGCTTGTACTAGCACATTGTTTAGCACAATGTTGTTAATTAACAATCAATTTTATGAAAAATTACATGTGAAAATTTACCATTTTTATTGTTGTTATTTTGTTACATGATATTCACTTTTCCCTTTATCTATTTAATTGCTTGCATCAATAAAAGTTATGCAATATTCTACCGTTTATAAACATAGAAATTTAGGTAAGTATGTAATCATTGTAACCGATATAAAAATGTCTTCTTTTTTAAAGCTTATGATTCTTTAAATTTTAAATGTTCCACGCATTTATCATATTACAGATTATACGAACTATTACGTTATATTGATTCAGAACTAAACAAATCAGTTGTAAATTATATGCTCAAGATATAAGTCATTTTTTGCATTGCATCAGTATACAAATATCATTTTCTAACAATGTAGATCTGAGGTTTATATTTTACCTTCTCTTCTTTCTATCTCGTCACTTCTCTTTAACATTTCGTCGGTTATGTTCTCCTTCATGTCTGCAAACATGTCTGTAAAATCTGAAATTGCTCGTTTAATGTCACCTAATGTACTGATGACCTTATCCTCAGTTTTCTTAATTTCATTCACCATTGTTTCTACCTTAATTTCAGTTCTTATCATTTTCTCTAAAAGCTGTTCTTCATATGCAAATTTAGAACAAACAGGCTCTCTAGCCTCAGAAAAATTATTACTATATATTCCAACGACAATAGCAAATGACAATAACAATGAGAAACCCATTTTGATGAGGACAGTTGAAAAATAAAATCAGAAAATGTATCTGAATATGACTCGCTGAGAGAAACAATTGTATTTATACAAGGAAATCTGCGTTGTTATTTGAGTATGAGGCCCGTAATAAGATTTTTAGTATAGTTGTTTAGCATAAATGCACTGAAATACGGTATCGAAGGAAATCCCTTAGATACAGTTTGAGGAAAACAGTTTGATTTTTCTTTACATAGACCGCCCTTCCCACACTGTAAATAAGGAGAACACCGATCGTGTTCACACTTGTTCAATTTTGGAACATTTCGCGTTATATTTTGAATACCTGTGTTCAGCGATGGCGTTCTAACTTGAACGTCAGTGTTCAATGGCAGTCCTTCTGGCTAGACAACATGAAAGTATTTGAGTTTTTTAGTACTTGGGTATGTTTTTTGGTCAATGTATTGTAATTGATGTTAGATTTACGCAATTCAATACGTGATGGTGCTTTAATAATGTTGAACATAATATGAACAGTTGCGTTCATTCAGAACGTGTCTAAAAATAGAATTTTGACAATTTGTGACGTCATAATTCGCACGAGGGCACCAATTCAAGTACAACAACAAGTAAGCGTCGGCGAAACGCAAGCTGAAGCATTCGGAACTGCCTCGGCTATTATCTATAATAACCTCGGAAACAATACGGATTGAAAGTAGTTCTACCACGTGGTTTCAGATGTAAACAGTAAAACGAATGTATATATTTGACATCTAATGTCTGTTCCGTTACTCTTATGCTTGAATATGTCTGACAACAATTTATAATTTAAATATGCCCACTGATGTTCAATTTTAAACACATCCGACTAAATGTCAACAGGTTGGTTTTTTGTACATTCTGTTTCTACCACCATAGTAATAAATATAAAAATAATGTATTGTTTGCTTTTGTACCTATGAATTCACTTATTTTAGGTGGACTTTTACTACATATATTGGAAATAAACTTGTCAACAACTCCCAGTATTTAATTACTATTTGTTTACATATTTAGTTTCTTAGCGTAGGTTAGACCGAAAGACCACATCCGTTCTGTGTATTCATACTATTGTGTTCGAGGTCTTTATCCGAATACTGACGGAATGTGCCGAGTAGTTGCGACTGAAGCTGAAGAAAAATACGGTATAACTTTAATCAAGTAGATCTAACACATACTTTATTAGTATCCATAAATTTAATTTTTATTAAATGGGTTTATGTACAGTGTAGGACTAAGTCGACATGTTGTTGTAGTTCACATTGGCATAACGTGTCTCTATTATTTTTACAAGGAGTAGATATGTGAGAATGCAGATTTTTCTGAGCAGTCGGGGTTATTTAGATGCTAAGATAAATGAATTTTAAATTTTGTGTGTAGTTCTTTAAATGATATATTATGTTTCTTTATATTTTGATAGGATAGCGAGTAGATCTAAGTACATGTATACTGTTGTTTCAAGCAGTGCTGAACGCTTTGAAATGCTGTATAGATCTACAGAAACTGGAGCAAAATATTTACAGAAATAATTTAAGAAGCGGCTTCAAGGGGATCTTGTTTCAGGACTTCCATACAGATCGTTGAGGTTTGTTTCCTTTAACGATACTATAGGAGGACAATATTTAAATTCCAACATTTCCAAATGAGTTGTAAATGTTAATCAAATTATTCTATATTGTATTATTGTTATACACAATGATGGCCTGATACTTTGTCAAAACACAAATGTTGTGTAGAACAAGGGTCTTAGCTACGGTTTCAAACCGACTTTGGTAAGGAAGTGCATAGCCCTGGTGATGTTAGAAGTGTATTATAATAGCAGTTGAGGTTTTTTCCTATATGAATCAATGAAAAAACTGTACTGTTATATATCAATACAGTTTTCGAATGTTCATTGAAGTGTTTGAAGAGTATCTGTTGCAAATAAGCGTTAAAGCAGCACGCCTCCAGATTCATGCTAATTTTCCTGAAAATTTGAAAATGTATTTAACAGTATAATATTGTGAAGTTACCAAAAGAATGCAAGTTTCACATTATCAATGACACTTACAATCCGCGTAAATTACCATTAAAAGGTCAAAATGTGCAAAATTAGCCCTTACTGCGTTAGTAACGCAGTAGAAATGTAGTTAAAAATACTGAAAAAACCCGGTCATTAATCGCACATAACATGTAAATTATTACTAGAATTTTGAATCTTTACACTTTTTATAAAATGTTAGTACATTTTTCTCAGGTTTGACTTTATCGAAATATTTTTGTTCATCTGGAGGCGTGCAGCTTTAAATGTGTTTTCTAGTCTTGAACATTTACATTTACAGTGCAACTGAGATTTAAGTGTCAGCATTATAACAAATAAATTAGCATGGTTCTAATGAAACATACAGTTGATTTCAGGATCTTTTAAATAATCTTTGGTAATAAAGAAAGTAATGTGTTGATTTAATACCAATTCTTTAATTAAACGTCAATTCAATTTATATTTTTTTGCAATTATCACAAAATTCTTGTAAAGGGAAGATTCCTTTTCAGAAAAAAAATGAAAAATGCAGACTTGTTCTGATCGAGATTGTTCGTGAGAGATTCTCGATTAATTATCTCGATGCACCAGAGTATTAAAGTAATACTGAAATGAATTGTTGTATGTGAGAAAGTTACTGATGTAGTTTACAGAATATTGGTCATACTAAACTGGTACTAGCTTATAAGTGACGATCCGTTTCTAGAGTTACTATGCATTACTCGTTTATAACTGTCACGTATCAGAACTGTCCACTATTTAGGGGTGAAGATGTGTAAGCGGCCGGATAGCTCAGTCGGTAGAGCCACGGTACGGTATTCCGATGGTCCCGAGTTCGAGTCCGGGTCAATATAGCTCAGAGTATAATTCACATTGCTCTGTAACTTTTTGAAATTCGAGGACGAATTTCATATAGCAGGGGAGTAGAGTATGTCACGGTTCAGAACTGTTCACTATTTACGGGAGAAGATGTGTGAGCGGCCGGATAGCTCAGTCGGTAGAGCCGCGGTACCATATACCGATGGTCCCGGGTTCGAGTCCCGGTCAGGCTGCACATTTTACTCACACTGTGACATTTTGCGCTCAACGGGGGGCCGTGACTGAATATAGCTCAGAGTATAATTCACATTGCTCTGTAACTCTTTGAAATTTGAGGACGAATTTCAATATAGCAGGGGAGTATGTCACGGTTCAGAACTGTTCACTATTTACGGGAGAAGATGTGTAAGCGGCCGGATAGCTCAGTCGGTAGAGCCGCGGTACCATATACCGATGGTCCCGGGTTCGAGTCCCGGTCAGGCTGCAAATTTTTTTCACCCTGTGATAAAATGATATTTGAAAAATATGTTATATAGACATTTTTACTTTACACACACTGTTGATATAATAACGTTTTAAAAATAGACAGTCTCTTTCAACCTATGCTATCAATGGTTAAATCCTAAACATTGAAATAAAATAGTGTTAATCATTTGTGGAAACCATTTTAACGTTGCTTTATTCAAAATACTTTGAAAGTTTTTTACAAATTTTATTTATCTTTTCCCAGAAGGTCATAGACCTATGTGGTACAATTTGCAAAATATATAATATGGCAAACGTGCATCAATACTAAGTTGACATGATCTCATACATGCATTACAGTAGCACATTTTACTTAGGAAATGAAAACATATATATTCACCTATAACATGATGTACATGTTTATAATGGTTCATATTTTCATAGAATATATGCAACATAAGATTTAAAAGAATAATAAAGTGTGCCAAAATCCAATTGTACTGACTTTACTTATTAGATTAGATTTATCACTATTGCTGTAGATAATTTGACAGATTAATACCTTTCTCAATTGAATATTGAGTTAAAGTCATGTTGATAACGAAAGTGTGAACTTTACATACATGTTTTCATACTGCATACACCATTTTGACAATAGTAATATTTAAAGCATTTACTTAACATATTTGATTGTACACGGGAGGAAGATAATTGCTATGGTCTTATCGTTCGACCTGTATATCGAGTTATGTAACATCCGCCGCACTATACCTTTAACAATTTATTGACATAGTTACAATATAATTTCTTAACATAATAAACTGCAGTTATCTAATAAAATGGAACACATTTGTATATAAATGTGTGTTATCCAAAGAATTTTGGTTACTGATAGCGAACATTACATATTGTGCGATTTTACATGGGAGATAATCAATATGGTCATATCGACTGACCTATATATCGAGTTGTGGAACGTTTCATGTACTAAGAGATTAATACACGGCAGAGTAGGGCCGGAAGATGATAATCGGCCCGCAAAATGAATAATTATTGATTTCTGGGCCGATTATCACCTTCTGGCACAACTATGACGTGCATTAATGTCTTTAATACACTTGGTTGATCTAATAGTAGCATTTTTTCTAAAAAAAAAACTACTTTGAAATTTCCTTCGTTGCAGTTCCTGTCTGCATTTCTACTGTAGATCTACAGTAGATCTACAGTTACTTCATCAGAGTTGTTTACTTAAAGTCATTGTGTGTTCAAAGTACACTACTGTACTGTACAATATAGAAGCAAGTTTTATTTTCATCTTTTTTTTGGAATGAATTTGTCGTATTATTTCTTTAGATTTCAATATTTAAGGTGACAACGGAGTCAATTATCACTGAAAATACCTAAAATGAGATTTTTTGCTAAGTAGATTTATCAACCTTTTCTGAACACATTCGTGATTTAATTTTGGAAGCAGTTAGTCCAAAAAATGTGTTTTTAAACGTTTTAAAACGGAACCTATACTATTTCTATCTGCTATTCG